GAGATGCCCCGGTAGTTGCCGCACTCCATCGTGTCCCCCTCCTTGAACAGCACTTTGATGGTGGCATCCTTCCACTGCGGTGGTACGTCCCCCGTCTGCCATACGTCGACGACAATGGCGTGGAACTCGCGGAGGAGACCTTGATCTCCGTCCAGGAAAAGCTTGATCAGCTCAGCCGGTAGGTCGTCCGGCCCGACGGCCTTTCTGTTGGCCATTTCCCGTACCGCTTCCTCAACCTCAAGTAGAGATGGGATGTCGTCGAGTGGCACGCACGTGGGCCACCGCTTGACCTTGTCAGCCGCATGCAGGTCGATGGTCGGCGCCTTGGTGTTGNGACCAACACCTACTTCCGGACACCGAAAGGTGGAGTGCAGCACACATTCCAGAGCTCCAACAAGGGAAAGGAGAAGTACCGCCTCGACTTCATCCTCATGCGTCAGGCGGACCGGCGTTTCGTGCGCAATGTCTCCGTCAAACGTGTCGACTTCAAAGACTCTGACCACAACCTCGTGCTTACGACTGTCCGCCTCCCCCCCCGTGTCGCACCCAACCGACGAGTGCGGGGGAACAGCAGAAGCAGCCGGACCCGTATCGACCTCGCGGGGTTAACGAAGGACAAACACCTACGGGTCGCCTTCCGAAACAGGCTTCCAGCCGCCCTCCGCCCACGGCGCCCAGGCAGCCAAAGGGAGAGACCGCCGCCGAGCTGACGGTTACGGTGATGTTGGCCGCTGCTGAGACCTGATGCCAGTCCAAGGAGTCGTTCCCCGTTGTTGTTCATTTGTCGCGTCCGTACGCGCCCATAAGATTGGCATCGCAGCACCCGTCTCGCCTCCTACCAGTGCTTGCGTTGGCGTCCATTAGCACCACGAGATGGTCGCGGCTGTGAACCTCCCGGATCGCTGCGTCGAGAGCAGTCCAGAAGGAGTCCTTGACGCTAACATCACAGCCCGCGGTGGTGCGGACAGTTTCCGTAGGGGCGAACCCCACCACGAAAGCTACTCCGCAGGTGCGGCCAATTGTAGACGCACCTTCATCAGCCTCGGGCTAGTGCACTCCATCGTCCTACCTTCCTCGCCCACACTCTCCCACATGGCCTCCTTGATCGCTATGCCCACACCGTGTACGCCCCTCTTGTCCTTGGTGCCAGCACGGGCGCCACTCCAGATGATCACGTACCCGTCGTGTGCAAGTGAACCTTGCCCCTGTCGTCGGGTCTCCTGAAGTCCTATCACATCACAGCCGGTCGCGGAGCATATCTGCATGACCGTCATCACGTTGTGACCGATGGGGTTCCTACCGCTGTAGGCGAGCGTGCGTACGTTGAACGTGCCGAACGATAGTGTGTGTGTGTGTGTGTATCCCTCTCTGTTCGTACGGCGTAGCCGCTGTTGATTTCTGTCGTGTGTAGTGGCTCGAAAGGAACCATCAGTTCGTGGTCTGTCGAAGCCAGAGTTTTTCCTTGTTCCGACCATAAGGAAGGGTTGATCTAAAAAATCTGAGATGCTCTCTGTCGGCCTGGGAGTTTCCAGCTGATTCTGTGGTTTCCAGACAAAACGCAGACCTTCCATTAGAACAGTTGGCCATAACCAGATTATTTCAGATGGTTTAGGGGTATACCCCCGAGGCCCAATTTGTGCCTGACCCAGTATCCAAGCCAAAGCGATGGGGAGAGTCCATATCCTTGTTGAATTGTTTCTCCTGCCTCACCATACGCCCCCTATGATGTTTCACAGTTACGGTTATGTTCGGTGTAACGCCGTTCTCTCGTGCGGCGTCAAGGTTACAACGTTTCTGTGTGCTCCTCGGCTCCGTTCAATGCCCATTGAACTGAAGACGAGGAGCCACCTCTCACATGTTCGCTATCTTGCACTCTTTCCTTTGCCACCATCTCGTGTCTGCATCAACAACAGCCGCCGTTGCAGTTCTACCTCCGGGTGCTTGAACAACAGAAATGGGACCGTGTCCACATCGTTACCAAAGGCTTACAAGACGCAACACACGTGATAAACCCCGTCGTACCAACCCTGGAGTTGAAAGTGGTTGAGGGAGAAATTCCAGGCAACATCAACTTCTACAAGGTAAACAAACACAATCCTCCTATCTACTGTAGCCCTACTCCTTCGGGCGGCCGCCCAACAGCGCCCTGTCCCTCGCTGTCGATGTACAGAGCAGTAGTTCATTTTGAAATTCTTGCGTGCTACTACACTGTACTGTACAACATGCACACCCGAATCGGCAGCGACATTCGGCGGGGTGCTTTTGGATCAAAATAATGTAGATATGCGTCTCGGGCAACGTGCGAAAAGCTGCTGCTCTCTTTCGTATACACTACAGACTTGCAGCATGCCGTATCTCTGCACATTCGGCAGCATCAAGACCTTGAACACCTTCGATGTTCGTTTCCAAACCCAATGGTCCGGCGGTCATGTGAGGACCGTACCATGGGTGAGGATCTGGCTTCGATTATCTGCGCAGATGCTCTCGTCACGGCAAAATCTTCCCTGGCGAGGTCCATCGCATACCATACGGCCGCTACCCGGATATACTTCCCGTTCCTGTGTTCGGGATTTGTCAATGATCTCGAAGGCTTGTTCCCGGGGACCAAGCTATACCAAACTCATGCTGTCGACTAAAATACAGTGCAGAGTGCAGATTGACGATGCTCTTACCTACTGTCAGAGCCCCTCTTTGATGTGTGGAGGAAGTGCCAAGCGCGGCCGAGGGTGTCTCGGCCGTGCTAGTTTTAATAAAGGTGGAAGTGAGCGAGAGAGGCCCCCTCGTGGGCATCTCCACATCTCCGAGATCACCCGAAAGCTCGAAGGGTGACTTTGTATGCGGAGATATCTGATTGTGGCACGCATCTCCGGAGAGGCACAACTGTAGAACATTGTTCGTACGTCCCGACCCCTGGTTTCCACAACTGCGGTATCTGTACCACCTATTGTAGGGATTCTGCAGCAAAAGTCTACACGGTAGTATAACTTGCGCTTTCATTATCGCGCGCGTTTGTTTAGTTTGATATTCACTTGCGTCGCTTGGGGGCGATACTCGCCGTCACCTGTGCCCAACCTCTCCTCCCGCACACCTTGGTATTATCACCTCCTCTCCGTTCCAAACGGTTAGACTACTGCCTCGCATGCAACGTATGTTGCGGGTGTACGGCATGACATGGAGGGACGAAGAATACAGCCCTTACGGCAACTGGACCAACAGTAGTGCGCATGAGCTGGCTCAGATGATGACTTACAACGTGTCTGGCTTCGCGGAGTGTACTGGCAGCTCTGGCTCGGGCGTGTAGTAGTCAAGTTGCAGTGGAGACGATCGGGGGTGCAGTATAGTCTATAAGACTACACTATAGTCCATATGCTTGGTGTTGCTTCATTATTGATGCATACATCTGGCCCTTGCGTTTGACTGCCACTTGGTGAAGGCTTGGTTGACGATCACAAGTACAGTTGGCGCCCGTTAAGAAACATTTTGTTAAGAAATTTATGCTCACATTTTCACGAAAAATAAGAAAATAATAGGGTAAAGAAACATAGCTCAATCTGGGTCACACAAAAAGAAATGTCGTACCACATAAATAGCCCCTCCGATAGGACTTGAGGCAAGGCGGGAAGGCTGTATCGGGTTTCGTGCAAAGGTGCTCTCCCATATCGACCTCGCGACTGACACACATCGTCTTCTCTGCTGATCGCTGTGTATCCAGGTGCGTAATTTCTACGTGTTGTATCCTTCGCCGTACTCCGTAACATGTCCACACCACTGCTCCACACGGAGAGACCAACTAACTGCCACTCGCTGCTACTGCTGACCTTCATGACGGATGCTCTTCAACGGGATTACGACATGGTTGCGACAAGATGTCTCGGCAAACCGCTCTGAGGAACACCAGGGAAGTTGACAACAATGGCCACATTGGATGTATATCACTTGAACACTTTCCGTGCTCTACTGATGATGCTGATTACCAACACCAAACATACCAGGAAACCAGCTAACACGATATAAACTGAACGCTATGCCCTACCTACCATGCACCAGGTGTACCATTCTCTTCTACTGTTAAGCATCACTGATACGCTACCCCAAAGGGTCAAATAAGTTTTCTTTTTGGTTGTGTAGTTGCTAAAAAAAACGGCGTAAAACACCTAGTCTACTGCCCGTGAAATTCAAAAATCTATAGGTTTGAAAAACGAGTGATGTACTGCTGTAGCCTCCTTTCCATCTTCCATGATTTTACATCCATATTATTTATTTCTCCTTAAATTCCTAAAACCAGCAAGCTGTCAATAGACACTGCGCCGTGTCCCCTGTGAAGGTTACATCTTACAGTACACGACACTACGGAGGGATTCTCCCCGATATTTTGTCGTTGACCCAGTAGAGAACTACAGGGGATGTATTGTAAAATGTAGATTTACCTATACAGATGTTTTTGTGCTTAGCACCAGCTGGCATCACTGACAAATCATCAGTGTATAGACTAATAAAGACTCGAAATAAGTCCAGTACCCAGCCGGTTTTCCTCCACTTACTGAAAAGACTCCACCACATCCCGTTCGACTGTGGGTATATCTCGAATGGGTAGTCTTCCTGTGCGTGTATTTATTTCTCCTTAATTAAATGTCTCAGTAAGAAACACAGTGGCGAACGTTGCCCTACTACATAAGAAACGAGGGTTTACGGGGGAGTGGGTCGAATAATAAACAAACCCCACAGCTCTCTCGCTCTTTCCCCCTCTCCGCCGACCCCCCCCTTCCCAAAGTGAGGCGTGGGGTTCTCGTGAAACTGGGGTTGGGTTGGTTCGGAGGGGTAATTAGTCGCAGATCTCACCCCGCTTCGCGGCAGGAGTACAACGTACTAGCGCGTCATCCTCCACTGTGACGAAAGCACGCGTAGCATGAAGATACAGTTGGAGTCGTACAGCACGGATGAAGACGTCGCAATTGGGGCGTGGGTTCTCCTAGAGGTAGACCCAAAGGAAGGGAGCGGGAGGCGCAAAAGGGTGAGACAACCCCCAATGTTCGCCTCACGGCGGAGCTTGCAACATAATGACGGGGTAGCTTTCGTTGTTGGCACGTCAGCGTGCGGGTGAGGCATCATGCGGTATTTGTGCATTTGTTTAGTTTCAGCCCTCACTCATGAGGGGGGTACAGGACCTTGTAGCGATAGCGAGACGTTGCCGCTGGATACATTTCGCTTCTAGGGAGTGGCCTTACGTGCAGCCGTCGGTAGTGAGAATCGGGGTTGAGTACGGGGGTCGAGGAAAGCAGTGCAAATCATTTGTATATTTGGAACGTTGTGTAGTATGCAAGCAGAGAAATAAGAAATTGCCGATGAAAGAAATTCAGACCTCGAACCAGTCAACGCCAATGATATGGGGATGAAGTAAGTGTAGACGCATCGTAGAACGCGTTTTCGTTTGAAGTTGGCGTCTTGTTTGAGAGTAGATGTGACAGATGTGCGTAGAATAGGGTAAGATGTTATCATGAACGGAGAAGAAAGGGCGTTTCCAACACGGAGATGTAGCATGGATCAAAGCGTTTGTTGGATTTCAGCTTTTACAAGAGGACATGAACGCAGTAGTGTTTTAGCAAGCTTACGAACGCATATAGGATACCATGAGGATTGTTATTTGTTTTATTTCAAATTGAAGAGATATTTTTACAATGTAAGTGACAGTAGAAATAAGTCCTACATATGTTGTTGTACTTCGTATTGGTTTAATATTCATGTAGAGTATGAGACATTAGGTGGAAGTTTTCTGAGGTACATGTGCATTTTTTTTTTGTCGGAAGGCAAAAAAAAAAAAATCAGCAGGATTTGGCTGCACGAAAAAATAAGAAACTTGAAACAAGAAACTGAACGACATCCGCTGAGTTTATAGCCCACAGTAAGAATTCGAGGCTGGACCTGAAATAAGCGTTTCTTAACTGCGGGCGCCAACTGTATTATTTTGCATGATGAGGATATGAGGATCGTGTGGCAGGGTCAACGTGTCACCACGAGGCTTTGCTACATGTAAAAAACAGTGTGTGTGATGATGCGCACCTCGATTCTACGGAGTTGTAACAGACTAGAGAGGTGCCAGAGGCAGATATAGATCTGTGGTGTACTCATACTACCACCGCTGCAGCTGAGTCGGCGTCGCCGGCGGTGAGTGCTACCATTAGAGGGAGCTAAGGCACGCGAAAGAGAGGGAGAAGTGTCGTCCACTCATCGCAAATTCAAACATCCCACGCAGACTAAACTAAAGGCTTCTCATCCTTGTTCTTTTTGCTCATTTGTTGCGTCCATCCGAACATGAAAACGGATGTGAGATGGTCTCAGGGTGAAGCGAATCCTACTGCCACGTGCAGGGTAGCGGATCCGTTGGAGTTCATCCGTTTCCTTTTCGTCCGTCCTCTCTCAGTCGCTCGCTATCATGGCTCACTCCCAGGCACAAAAAGAGGCGAGGCGCCAGCTGAACGCACATCAATCACTGCTTGCTGCTTCTTTATGATTCTACCGCAGATTTGCCGTGCAGTCGACAAGAAATGCATGTCTGCCCTGATGGTATCGTACCCTAACGCCACGACATGCCGCTCCCTCGGGAAATCGCTCAACACTTTCGATGCTGCTAACGACTACAAATTGTATACCCCACCGGTGGAGCAATATCTTTTTGACATGCGCTCTAACTGAAATTGATTAAACGCGCAAAAATTCCAAACCAAGTGCCAATCGGGCATCTACTGAAACCATCCCGCGAAAGGAACGAAGATGTGTTCAGAAGGCGTTCACCGCAACCACATACAAATCTTCGACTAAAACATCGACACGACACCACTCGTCGGTGCATCCAAAGCAAACGATTTGCTCGATCTATGATACAAAGGAGACCTCTACCTGCAGACCGCGGCTCTCGCTCGTTTTTTCATCACCCTCTCCCTCTCCCGCGCCCGCGAGCCCTTCCACCGCCACCCCCCCTCCGTCGACTTCCCTCTTCCCTGCCCCGCTCTCCTCGGTCTTCAACGCCCCCACCTCTACCCTTCCCCCTCCCCCGACCCTTGGCCGGCGCGTAGGAGAACTCTCTAACAACTCCCGCGTTGGTGCGTATGACGCGGTCGTCGACAATTGCTCCCTCGCTTCTCGCGGCCTCGCTGATCCGCTCTTCCAGCGGGATGGCTCGTACCCTGGGTAGAAAATGTTCGTGTACCGCGATCGAAAGTAGGGGTANGGGGGGGGGGGGGGGGGGGGGGGGGGGGGGGGGGGGGGGGGGGGGGGGGGGGGGGGGGGGGGGGGGGGGGGGGGGGGGGGGGGGGGGGGGGGGGCTGTGACTAAGCATACGCGTCGTTCTTTGCCTCTCTCTCAGACGTGTACATGACAACTACATGTCCAAAAAAACTGGGGAGTACATGAAAATTTTCACACACCCCATCGACGACATTTTTGTCCGCAAAGTACTGATGTCACTAGAACAATACCCCGGGTACATGCAACGCGAGCGTCGTGGCAACATCTCCGCGTGCTCTCTCCGACCTGCAGCACCCCCTGGTTTTAGCGGCAGGCAACTCCTTCAACGCATAAATTCCTACCTCCGCCTTTGCGCCTGCGCCTGCTTGTCTCTCGAGCCCCCCAGCCCCACCGCCGCCGTGGCGGCGTCCTCTTCATCGTTGAGCTCGTAGAAGCCCGGCTTGGCACGGCTCTGCTTCCCTCCCTTCGTTGTTTTTCCGTCGCGACCTCGTTTCTTCCGCGGGACCACGTCGCCCTTCTTCCTAACCTTCCCGGCGCGGCCCGTAGCCTACGGCGTATTTCGAGAAGCGAAAATTGACAGAGGTGAAGAGAGAGAGAGAAGGGCGTTCAACTCGAGCTCCATTGGACATCCGTATTAGGATCGAACGCAATCAAAACAAGAACGAATACGACCAAACGTCGATGCAGGTCGTAGAAACCCGTCATGAGCGTAGGTGGCCGACGCAGAGTCAAACAATCGAACAGCACACGACACTCACCGGACCATCGGAATCCGACCCCGCTGCCCTATCCCCCCCTTCCTCTTCGCTGAAGCTGTCATCCGACGACGACGACCCGGCGTCCGAGTCGCTCCGGGCAAGGGGGCGGCCATGCCTGCTGGACGCCCCCTTGTTGATGCCGCCGACCTTGGTGAACCGGTCCTCGATCGCGTCGTCCTCGGACTCTGCCTCGTCTTCCGTCTTCTGTCTCTGCGCTCGTCGCGTGTGGGAGTTCGGACGAGGATACGCGAGGGAGAATGTTTGGCGTGGGCGGGGAACCCGGTATACATGGCAAGCATTGATCGATCGAGGGTGGTTGTCCACTGGCCGGGGGGGGTACAGAAACGCCGGTGTGGAGCACTTCGGCGTGCAGGATAGCGAGAAATCCTTCCCGTTGCCCGTGAAGCGAGCCAGGGTTCGCGAGTCGCGCTCTGGGGTGGGTTCTTCAACAAGATACAGAAAATTCTATAGCAATCTTCTCGAGAACAAATATCGAAGGCGAGCACTGCAGGAGAGTTGGGGGGGGAGGGGCTCACGGGGAAGCCTTCTGTGTGAGCACAGATTGGAAATGGCGCCTACCCTGTCGAAATGATCAGAATGAATGTTGTTGTTGTTTCTCATATTAGCTCCATAGTCCACAAAAAATGGGGAGCCCGGGTCTCAAAACCCGGCACATACGACGCCGCGGGGAAACAAAACAAAAATAGGGTACAAACCACTCGGAACAAGAAAACAAAATGATACAAAGAAAAGAACAGCTACCGCACCGACCGTTCGAGAAAAGAGCCCTCGGAAACCGATCAAAACTAAACAAAAACAAAAATAAAGGAGGACGCTTCCCACACCCGCCTAGAGAAAACATCAAAGGGTAACGTACCAGCACCAGGCACTACGCACCAGGGCATGGGAGTAACGGAGCAAACAGGACAAAGAGGCGGCAGATGGGCAGACAGCCAGATGTACAAAAACAAAAGCAACAGCAAAGGCGAGATCAAGGTACCCAACACAGCAGAGTAGGCAGGGAGGACATGAAAACAAGAAAAAAAGGAAACATAAGTAGAGTGACGACAAACAGCAAGGAACACTTTCATAGGTATCAACGAAAGACGGTGCGACACGATTATTGTCCGCACAAGCGCTACAGCAACATGAGAGCGAGCACAAAAAATGCGGCGACGGCCTCGCTCACCATCTTGTTCGCGATGACCGAAGTGGGGTGGGCCCTGGCGTACTCCTCGCTCTCCGGGTCCACCTCGAACTCCGCCGACTCGAACATCGCCCCGAAACGGTCGTCGCCGAGGGGGTTACTGCTCGAGACAGCAACACCGCCGCCGCCGCCGCCTGCTCATGTGCAATGCGTTCGTCATTGACGGGTGACGGGTGAGATTTTGTTCGGTGTTGACAACGGTGAAGGGAGGATCCAACCGGTAGCCGAAGTACAGCATGGGTTGGATGCACACAGGTGGGCGCTCGTTGTTCATGGGATCGCCAATACCAGGGTTGGGCTTACGGCATCGTTTGCATACACACAATAAAAGCCAACACGTGTAGCAAATACGAGAACAGCAACAACAACAGGCAACAACCACAGCGACATTACCAAGAACAGCAGTGTCAGCAGCATCAGCAGAAACAGCAACAAACATCGAAATCCTTGTCCGGTTCAGACTTTCGTACCTCCCTCCTCGCCTTCCAGCTTGGCCTTCCTCTTCTTGTCCCCCGACTCCGCTTTGTCCAGGAGTCGCTCTGCCATCGCCCGGTTGACCTGCCCAAAAAAACACAGGCGCAGAGGTCATCAGTCCAGCCCGAGGAGAAAAACGTTCGGTGCGCAGCATCCGCTGTCGGCTTCAATATTCAGCAAAGCTGGCACACTCTTGTTCACGCCAAGCCACCCAAATAACAGAGCGACAGCAACTCGACTGCGACAGACAACGAAAGCGGCGGCAAATCAAAGGGCAACAAGCGTTCAAAAAAAAAAACAAGGCCAAGGCGGTGTACCCGGAACCAAAAACAAATCCCTCAGAAAATACCCGCCATAATACACCAAAGACGAGCACGCGCCCGGTGGTGCCGAAAGCAACCGCATCGGGTGGGTGGGCCGCGTAAGTACCTTGGGAAGGTTAGTCCGGATGGATATCCTGCTCTTGGTCTTCTCTTCCATCTTCTCCTTAATCTTCTTCTTGCGGTACTCCTCGTACGCGAACGGCTCCGAAACCGCTTTGAGCCTGGGAGACAAGAACGCCAACAGCCCCCACGGGACCCAGCCCCCACGGGACCACCACAAAAAAGCAAATACCCGCCACAGAAAACCGGGGGGGGGGCGGGAGCAGGACAGCGAACGATTAAACGTCGGGAGGTTTAAGCACTTAAAGAAGTCGTGCTGAAGAGGCTGGATACCGGCGTAGGCTTCGATCGCGTTCCGCACGTGACCGCTGAGCAATGCGCTACACAACAAGGCACGACGCGAGAGATGGCCGTAGCCGACCCATGTCTTGGGATCTTCGCCATCCCCGGACATGGCCACCATCAGGACACTACACGCCGGGGTCATACCGTTGGTGACAATACGTAACATATCACACCACCCCCTTGGACCGCATTTTCAAATCTCGATAACTCCAAGACGATTAGGATGCACCAAACATGTGACACGTTGTCCGAAAGCTCTTGGTGAGACGGTTCCAACGCCGCCACTTTCGGCACCGCCGCTGATTTGGAGTCATCGAGTTTTGAAAATCGGTCCGGGGGTGTGATATCTCGTGCCACCCACGGTATATAGCTTCGTCGTGTAAACTCCGATCCTGCTCGGCATTCAAGCACGCGGAGCTCGCCGTTTCTCCTCCGCCTACGCACACCCACACAAAATTCTTCAAAAATGCCACAGGCCTTACGATGCCTTTACCTTGTGTACAGCTTCATGTCCATGAAGTAGCCGTGCATGTAGCCCCTGAGTAACGGAGTGCCGACGAGGTTCGACACGCCAAGCTCTTCCACCTTATGGGGCAAGCACGCAACCGAGACAAAGCAAACGTAAATTAGACAGCAGTAGCGTACGACAAGAAGCAAGACAAAGCCTAGGTTACGACCAACTGATACGAACGAGGGGTATATGGCACAACCCGATACAACAGTAGTAGACCCTTGACGAGGCTGCACAATAGTGCCAACGGACATGGCCGGCCCTTGTACCATGAATGTAGAGTGTGAAACATACCACTTTCATATTCCCATCTGTGTGACGTGATTTCACCGTTCAGGGACCACTACTCCTGTCGGTTGAAGAAAAAAGCTGGGAAAACAAACGTCAAGTAGATCTCTACTGCTACACGGCATTTCGGACTGAACCACCAAAAGCTACAACACACATGAACAAACGGGCAACGGGGACGCTTACAACAAGACTGGAGCACAAACACAACAAAGACAGAGCTCTACCCAACACGGTATTTCAGACTGAACTAGCAAAAGCCACAACGCCTAGGAACAACCAGGAAGACGGGTAAGGCACAACGGCAAGATTAGATACACAAAAACAGAGCTCGACTCAATACGGCATTTTTCATCCATCCTAATCATCAAGTCAGGACACAAAGGAACAAACAGGCAACGGGGACACGTACGACAGCAAGACTAGAGCGAACAAATCACACTAACAGAGCTCTACTCGATACGGCATTCCAGAGAGAATCAACTAGAACTAGGACACAAAAAGGAACAAGAGCCCACCGAGACGTGCAAGACTGGACCGAGCACGCACATCAACAACAAAAAGAGCTCTACTCAACACGGCTACCGAATTCGCAATTCAGGACACACAGGAAAAACCAGGAAACGTACAACAACAAGACCAGGGCCGCGAAAACAACCCACCTCTGCGGTCGTGACGAACTTGTAGTCCTCGTAGACGGACGCCTCCTGCTCCTCCTCCAGCTCCTCCGTGAGCACGTCCAGGAAGGAGCACCACCGCGGGGCCGGTCCGAGCGCGGGGACGTAGTACGAGAGGACCCGGGACTGCTCCGTCGCCATTAGCAGGAGCCCCGAGTCGCCCCTGAGCAAGTGTATTTTATTCTTCAGTATTGTTTCTTAACAAAAACAGAACAGATAACTCGTCTCTTCCACCGATAGGTGTCCTGGATAGAGTAGCGATGGATTTCATGGTGTTCAGGAGCCCCGAGTCGCCCCTGAGGAAGTGTGTTTTGCTCTTCAAAGAATTTTTATTGAAAAAAAAAAACAAGCAACGCATCTCATCCACCGATAGGTGTCCTGGATAGAGTAGCGATGGATTCATGGCGTTCAGGAGCCCCGAGTTGCCCCTGAGGAAGAGTGTTTTGTTCTTCAAAGAATTGTTTATAAAAAAACAAAGCAAGTAACTAATCTCATCCACCGATAGATGTCCTGGATAGAGTAGCGATGGATTCATTGTGTTGGGGAGCCTCGAGTCGCCCCTGAGGAGGCGTTACATCTTGTTCATTACTTTTCGTACAAAAATAGAATCTCTCTTCACCGACAAGGGTCCGGCACAGATGAGTGATGGATCCGGAGTGTTGTACGATGGGCTACTCGTATTGAAACCGGAACGGGTTGCCATGATTGATGTCGGCGGGAAGACCTCACAAGTGGCTAGCTACGGGGCCATTACCTACGGAGTCATACAGAATGGACGAATTAGCCACCGCCAACAGCAGGAGTTTCAAGGCATCCGTACGCTCTACAATAGTTGACCAGCGACGTAAATTGTGACGCTTGCAGGTCGAAAAAGAAGTCTCAGTCTCCACCGACAATGCGACACTCCTCGACACAACTGTGGTCGGTGAGTGCTCCTGACAGTGCCATGACTCTGTCGGTGCGATATAGTTCGAGCACGGCAGCATGCAAACTAAAAAAAGTACCCCGACTCTCCCGTCCCATCCCAGTCCCATTTGAGAAACGACAACCAAACTCTTTGATCCTCTCAAAAAGCCCCCGCAATGTCTCTCCACCATGGGGATGCCGCAAACGCGTGGGCGCAAACACCATTTCACTTTACTGGAGACGAGCGACATATTTTTCATTGGCTTATAGGAACAGCTCCCGGACAAGAATATTCATCGGTAAGCCGGTCGTCATTGCCGATGCCAGTCACTGCAAGCAACCACACTCCACCTTGCGTCGTGCGCCACGCAGACGTCGTTGATATCCGCCGGTGTCTCTACGTTGGTCACCACCGCCCCATCGTCCCTGTTCCAGATCTTCACGGTCTTCGCGTCCGAGCTCAGCACTCGCCTCTCTGTGCCCTACAGAGGCGGAGCAGCAGGGCAAAGATGACGCGACACACACACAGCAACATCTGAGCTCAGTAGACGGGGTACGAACAACAGCAACGACGTGTTTCCGAACAAAATCTAACACCTTTACCTGAACGGCAAAGGCTAGGGCTGTACAAGTGTTTCTGCTGTTTCGGTCTCCGCTGATTGAACGACGACATCACCACATAAACCACAGTGATACGACACTGAAGTTCTGCCAAAGTCATGTAACGGCTTGTACCAGTAACAGATAAGGTGTCGGTCGGAAAAATCGCTACTGTACACACCTGGTGGAACTTGATCCCGGTGATCGGGAGGCCGTACTGGTGCTCCTTCACAAAGGTCGGCCTGGAAGACCGCAGGTCGAAAGTCAGGCAATGAGCCGAGCTCGTGCCCACTCCCATCGTGAGCCCGTCGGTATCAAAAGCCACGGTAGAAACCTGCGGTGGGTGCCAGCGCAATATGTGAAAAAATGTATCCAAACGTAAGAGTATGGATGGCAGCGCACTGCGTGAAAAAATGCATCCAATTTTGAGAACCTCTTGCTTTACCCCAAGGCTCGTCTCGTCTGTTCTATTTGGGGCACCACACACAGGATCCTGAGCACTTGTTCTCAACTTCGAAGGAATAAACCTGTTTTGCTCGTTGAGCCTGGACATCCTAAAATTTGTTGTGTCGCGTGACATAAAGGGTGAAGGCTTGGTGGGGACACGTGGCATAAAAATACACGTGGAAAACATCCAACAGCAGCAGCAGCTGGCTTGTGCCGATCCTCGTCGTCAATCAAGTTAGTGTAGCAGCACTTCACGACAGAAAAAAATAAGAAACACTTGAACGCAGGTCTACTAGGTGTGGTGACGGGTGGCATCACGGGGCGAAACAGCAGCGGATGGGCTGCTGCAAACTAGAACAGAGGCTAGAAAGTGGGGGGATCAGACTATCGCGGGCGCAACAGAGCCGCTGCCAATCCCGAGTAGGGTAAGTTTCCGCACTGCCCGGCCATGCTACAATTCGAATACCCGCACCAGGACACCTGAGACGCCCTTGCTCTCGCGCAAAAGCAACGGGCTGTCGGCGGCCACCCTTTTATGGCGCAGGCGGTGCAAAGCGGAGAAGATGCCTGCGCCAACACCCGAGTACCTCCCACACCAGGTGGCGTGCTGCGCACCATCCTTCATCCCCACACAACCCGAGAGCAGGAGCACCAGCAACATCACCACCACCATATCCAATGCCAGCAGAGAACGAAGCTCTCTCTACCCACCTGGAACCCTCCCAGCGTCTGCTCCGCGGCCGTAACGGCGGCCGCGTCCACCGAGTCCCTGAGGTCCAGGCTCGCCACCGCGCGCCCCCCGCCCGACTGGCCCTGCCGCGAGTCCCACAAGTGCACGAAGCCGTCGTCGGTGCCGGCCGCCAAGAGCTGGTGCACTACGCAGAGCTCGATCTTGTTGATCCCAGCCGCCGGGTTCCTAGGCAA